TAAATGAACCAAAGCAACCAAGGACACAAAATGAATTGGCAGTGGAAAAATTCTTACAAGAAGCGAAGAAGAAACATCAATAAGGAATAAGACACGATCATATTGAACTGTAGGTAAACAAAATACACAGCTAGAAACTGGAATTGAATCGAAAAACACAACAAGAACAGAACATGTGGTTTATCATAGATCCGTGCATGCGTTGACTCTGCTATCGTTCACGGCGGGGAAATAAGTATCATATGCAGGCTTTTTTTGGGTGCGCTCTTCAGTGAAACATGATGTGGAAGACTTGTCGTCGCTGTATGAATTGTAGTACTTGAGTAAGGAGCGGAGGCCCAATGTTGATAGACAGGTGGGTGTAGACGTTCAGCTCATTGAATGATTGGAATACATCATTCAGTTCTCTCCCATATCCCAGCTGCGCTGGTTAAGATGACGCATGGCGCGACGCTGAGGAGGTGCCGCCTTCTCCGGCGACTGCTCGGGGTCATCCCAGGACGACTGCATGTTCTTGAGAGCCTTCTGGCGATCTCCGCCAACAGGCTTCATGTTCTCACTGCTGACCTTGCTGTTCTGGGGAGACTCGGCGGTGATGTTCCAGTGGGTCTCGTAGTCCTTCTTGCGGTTGGGGCCGTTGTTGACAACAGACAGAGGGGCGTTCTCCTCAGCGGCTTCTTCTTCGTCTTGGAATAGGTGGTTCTTATAGAGACTCAGTCCCTTGTTCTGGAAAGAACTGATGATACGAGGGGCGTTCTTGTCCTCGGCGGGGTCGTCTGTCAGGACGAAGTGGGTTTCGGCATCGCGACGGGGACGGTGCACCGGGGGATGGGCGGGCGGCGAAGTGAGGTCCGGCTCATCATCGCTCCAGCCAAAGTGACGGATCTGCTCTCCACGAAGCGGACGCTTGGGCTTCTCGGGCGTCACGAAATCATCAAAGTCCCAGTGAGGCGCCTGGCGCGACACAGGACGGCTGGGCTTTTCCTTGATCTCCCTCTCACTGTTGTCCCCACCGAGCTCAAAGTGATCATATCGCTTCGGGTTAGCCCGATAGGCAATCTGCTCGTGACCACCCTCCGCAGCGACGGTTTCATCATCGTCAAAGATACGGGAGCGCTGGAAGTTCTTGCTGGCACCAGCTTTGGGAGCGATCCTACTCCGAGACGGCGTGTCGGGAATATCGGCGTCTTCGTGGAAGATTTCCTTGGGATCGCGGGGCGGGGGCTTCGCAGATGCAGGAGCACGAGGTGCGCGAACTGGCTCGCTCCGGTCCTTTTCAGGGGAGAGGAGCTCGAAGAGTGACTCAGCGGCGTGAGGATCTTTGATGTGTCTCTTTCCGGGGGAACCCTTCTTGCTACGATCCTCGTTGCTCTCGGTTGTTGCGGGGAATGATGCCGACGCAGGTCCGTCGTCACCTGGGTTGGAGGAAACAGCGGACTTGATCAGGCGAATTTGATCCTTGGGTTCGCGAATCGGCCAGCCGCGACTGCGGGATCCGATCACCTCGACTTGTTTCAGTAGCGACGCTTGGTCCCAGTAGATTCGGACATTTTGGATCTGATTCTGCGAATTGAAACGAACGATATGGACCTGGGCAAGTAGCAGAGCGCAACGTTAGTACAGGGATAGAAGAGTGAGGTCACAAGGCGCTCGACGTACCGTGGGGAAAGTCGCGACGTGGTCAGCCAGGAAGTTATCGTCCAGCGAGGGAAGATAGGCCCCGCCTCCAGACACAAACTCCAGGGTAGTTTCAATGTCCAAGCAGAGGGAGTTGGCGCTCTCAATCACATCCAGAACGTTTTCCGACCTGGTCTTGACAATTCTCTGCTGCTTGGTGAGGTGGCTGACGACGGCCGATGCGCCATCCAGCTTGGTGGTGGTGGTGATATAGATCAAGGACGCATTGGAGGCCAGGGGCGCCGAGCTTGGGTTAGCCAGAAAGCGCTGGTACACGTCTTTCAAAGACATGGTGGATTCGAGTGGATTTAATATGTCAGAAACGAATGTGAGGGGGAGGGAGTGTTGGGTTGGGGTAAAGGAAGGACAAAACACGGGCAGAGAGTGAGTAGTAGGGATGGATGTGGATGTTTGATGACAGGCCGAGGGAAAGTGAGAGAAGGGGAAACCGCCCGTTGCAGATTGGCGCGAACCACGTTTCAGAACCCGATTAACTTTCAAGCACAGAAAGTACAGAGTAAACCTGGACTAGAGAAATTGTAATGAATTGAATAAATGAATGAATGTGCTGAGGATCTGAGTCTTGAGAGAAGAGGAATGTAGGCAGAAATCAAATCCAAATAGAGGGAGAAACAATCGCCACGGGGGTTAAACTTTTAGTTGTTGTTGTTATGATTATTATTATTATTATTATTATTATTATTATTATTATTATTATAAGGGCCAGATTCACAACTACCAATTTGACTTCTTCAAGGGGGTCTGGCCGATTCACCGTGAGCTATTCTTATACCCAACTACGACAAAATGCACCACCAATTGATTGATTAAGAGCCATTCTTCCAATGAGAAGGGGTGGCCGATCCAACTAACATGGGGGTTGGTTTGCCATCCGGCACAGTAGACTGCTACTAATAGTGACGATGATAAAACCAACATGTGTCTTTCAAACTCTGGGGGCATGACAGTCCATGGCTTACCTGAATCTACTCGGGTCCATCACAATCTCGCAAGAAATCTCCCACGACGCTAAGGACTGGGGAAAGTCAAATGAGCCACGCGCACGGCTCCGACGATGGACACACCAGCGTTTCACTAATCACGATGGGCCACCAACTAAATACTAAGTAGTAAGTACTAAGTAACTACCCGCGTCTCTCCGGCAACTGCGCTTGGGCTCGGCTGGGGTCTTTATTCATGCTGCCTGCCTGCACAATTCGGCTCACTGCACTGCACTACGTATGCTTAGTAGGGAGTAACAGGAGTCTAGATACTACTAGACTCAGGTCGAGAACTCAGTCGTGGTCTTTCATCTATGAATTAGTTCGTCTTTCTTTATTTTATTTTAGACCTTCAGTCCGGCAAGCCAAATTCGGAAGTGTCCGCCTTAGATATACACACATATAGCTATCCTCCTAACTGGCATGGGAGATCCTATGCCCTCCCCGTCGTGGTTTTTCTTCTCAGGTGCATTTAGTGCCTGGTTTCGCAGCAATCAGTCAATCCCGTTCGCCTGCGCGGGTTTCTGCAAAGAAAAGGCACGATATCATGCCGGTGGATGATATCCAAACTCAAGACTCCGCCTTGGGCGCGCTCTCATCATTCTACCCATCGGCGCACCTCCTTGCAAGGCAGAATTCTTTCAACATGGTTGTTCTTGTGTGAGAAATTGTAGAGTAAGGAAAGGGTATCAACGATCCTTTCAATAGTCACGCGATATCAATCATTAGGGTAAATGGTGGAGGTTAACGGCACATCACAAAAGGCATTACAATGGTCTGATAAGGGAAAAAAGAGTAAAACGTCAGTACACCTGCGTCGGACACCAATTCCCAAAGAGGATGGGGGGAACTCACCCGAGGTAATCTTCCTTGATCGTTCCAATGGCATTGATCGCCGCAACGTCGGGCTTCACACCGAGAATCTTAAGCCGTAAACTGGTCCCCTTCTCGATGACTTGGTCCGCATGGTCTGTGTATTGCGGCGGTACTGTATTCGGTTCCCACTTGATATCGGAAGGAATGTTCTTGCCAACTCGTTAGCATCCGACAAGGCTAGGTGATCCAACTCAAACTCGGTCGTCCACATACTTTCCGTGCAATGAAAACAGACAATGGACCGGCCAAAGTAAAGATACCCGTGGGCTTGACAGACGTAACAATCGCATCGACCTACAGGGTTCTGGTCAGAATCAAATGCAGTCCTGTTTCAGTGCGACTCCAAAACGTACGGTCTCTCCGCGGAAGGGCTTCCAGATAATCGCCCGATACTTAATCGTGTATTCTGCCTGTCCGCTGCCTGGGAGCACCCGTCCTTCACCAATATCCACCATGTCCATCACACAGATCACGAAATGATCGCCCGTACAACGTCCCTCTTCCTCCTCGTTTAACCGGTTGATGAGATACTCGCGCATGTTGGGCCCGAAGTAGGACGGATGCAAGGTGATAACCTTGACCTCTTCTTTAAGGAAAAACATGTTGTAGACTTGTGATGGTCGAGAGTATGATACACAATTTTGTTTCAACAGCCGGCGCGGTGGGGGTTCGGTTTACGCGATAGATCAAGCTGCAGCCAGTATCTTACTGTTCCCCGGGGATTGGGTAGGTGCAGGTCGAGTAGCTCGAGTGGCCTGTGTCGTCAGTCCAGAGGAGGTCGAATCGCTATGAATGAGTGAAGCGATGAACTAGATTCGCGACGAATGGACGGGCACTTGCCGCCAATACTTGATGACAAGATATCAACGACTGGGAAGACCAGAAAACTGATTCAGCAAGTCAACAGAAGAAGGGAGCGCGCGTTCAGGATAAAGAGCGCAGAACAGAGCAATTGCAGCAGATAAACCCTGCCTTCAAACAAGATCGGACAGAAGAAGGGGCAGTCACCCGTTAATTCGACACCAAACTCATAGCGGTCACGGATTTCCGTCTGATCAGCTCGAGCTGGATGCTCTCACGTGACTATCTCGAGAGCACCCCCACGACGGTCATTAAATACACAGCCATACGCCGTTACAGAGCCGATAGAGTGTAGCTCCGCGCACTGCCGGTTATGACGAGACGCAGCGTGTAATTAATCACGATATCCTCGGCCCTGCCTTTGTGCAACGAGTTTACCTAGGCCGGGATGACGTCTGCACAAGCATAAAGCCAGGAACAAATCATAGAATGTCCTATCTCTCCACCTGCTGATCGGGTCAGATCAGGCAATATCCCCAGACAAGAAACAAAAAAAAAAAGGAGCTGGTCTCACGCTCGCCGTTATTCTTTTGTTGCGCCCATCTACATCGGACTTTCGAGCCATAGCGGTAATAGCATTCCAAGATGGCCTTGAATCTCGAAAAGCAGCTTCTGTTTGTAAGCCTCTGCCGCAACACCTACCACAGTGTTTGGTGCAGTCTTCTCATGCTAACGAGCGTCGCAGTATGGAGCCTATCACAATAACCCAGTATGCCATACTATTTGCCCCATTTGCGGCTTGCTCTAATGGTCCCGTTCAGGTCAATGTTGCGATACACATCACATGCGTGCCGATTCTCCTGTTCACAGGGATCGCTCTGGTACGAAATGCTGTTCCCTCAACCCTCCATAGCGATGGAACTCCTAACTTGTCATGAATCTACTAGGCGTCGAACACACCGGCTTTCGTGAATCTGCCCGATGCGCTGCAGATCCAAAACCTTCCTCCTAATCTCGGAACGATCGCAGCCATCATATACTCCACGTTTTACATCCTCCTCGAACCTGTTGCTGGGGCACTGGTCGCTCCCCTTATAATCGCCGGTGCAGCCTGGGCGAACCATCTACTGGCTATATATGGCAACAGCGCCAACTATTGGTTTGCTGGGATCCATGTAGTGTCCTGGCTCGCTCAGTTTGTCGGTCATGGTGCCTTTGAGCGCAGAGCTCCGGCCTTGCTGGACAACCTCGTCCAGGCGCTTCTTCTGGCACCTCTCTTCGTCTGGATGGAAGTGCTCTTTTTCTTCGGCTACCGTCCGGAGCTGAAGGCCAGATACGATCAGAATGTGGAAAAGCAGATTGCGGCTTTCAAGGCGCAGAAGGGCAAGACTGCCAAATAAGTGCTGTAAAGCTATATGGTAGGATGACCCGATCTCTATTTTTACATGGGAATTGCATGGCTAGTAGCGGTGATTTGCTGCGAGTTATGCTGCCATGCCAATGGTTCGAAATGAGAGCATTGCTCTTCCTTAGCATTAGTTTTTGGTACCTCTGGAGTTTTGAGATTGATGTTTGCAGAGTGCAATGTCTGTCAGCGCTACAGCAATAATATCATACTACGTCGGTAATTGAAGTTAATCATTAATGAATAGCGAAGTATCCCAAGATGAGTGAATAAACCGATGTTGATGCAGGCTTGACATTCATGCATCCAAAGTGGATCATGATGTAAGCCCCGGAAGTACGGAGTAGGAACCTGGGTAGTGAGGACTGTAAGGAGGAAAAATGGGGAAGGGGAAATAGGAAAAAGGTCGGGTATGGTTGGTATGTGAATATAAGAGGGGGTTTCTTTTCTGTCATACAACATGCGCATAAGAAGAGGAGAACGAGAGACAAATTACATATAATTGAGAGGGGAAAAGTTTGGGACAAGTCTTGGACTTTGACGGGCAGAAGGAGGAGAAAAGAGGAGGTATATGCTGGGTAGCGGTAACATACGAACGAACCAGTTGGTCGCAGCCATGGGAAGGGCCCATGTCGAGCCGGTGTTTCCCACCGGGACAACCGGTCAAAGCAGTGAGGTGAGTGAGTGCGGTGTCGAGCAGAACGGGGCGGGTTGTTGTTGGCAGGGCCCTGCGGGCGGTTGCTGCGACGAAAATGAACTGAGTAAGCCAGCCAACCAGCAGTATCCGCAGATCCGAGAAAAGGAACAAATGAAAAATGGGATGGCCAGGTGGCCCGGAGAAACAAGCGGTTACCGCTTTCCCTCAACCCCCGTCAACTTTAGAGCAACAATGTTAACAATTCCCTACCATAATAATTTTTTATGAAAAGGGTTCAAAGTGTAGGGGAACTAATAATAATATATTTAGGGACTAAAAATAATGTAGTAGTAGATCGGTGGGAAAGAAAAAAAAATAGCAGACAAAAGTGATGGAATACATCACCCGGCAACGAGTTTCTTTGGGGTGGGTGGGTGTCCCGTGAGCGCACTAGGGCGGCTTCGGAGGTTGGTGAGGTCTCGGCAAACTAGGATTAGTGGCAGTCCTGAGAATCCTCCCAACCCCGACGACAAAGCTCTCCTTCCATCCATCCACAATCCTTTCTCCTCTTCCTCCCTCCCCCCAATTACATCTCTCCTTCAGAGAAACCACTCTCCCACTCCTCTGAACCCCCATCACAATGTTCAGAAACGCTTTGCGGCAGTCTAGCCGCACCGTCGCGGCTGCCTCTGCCACTGGCAGGATCGCTTCGGTGAGTCCTATCCCTGTCCAGGTCGACCATACCTTCGCCATCTGGCCGATTCCATCCAAGAAGTCATCTCAATGATGCTTGCCATCGCCTCTCTACACATCGCAATGCTTCCTGCTTCGCTTTTACGCGTTTTGACTGCGTGGTCGTGATGTTGACAAATTTTGCGTACGACTACAGGCTCGCGCGGCTGTTCCCGGCCCCCTCTCTGGCGCCTCCAAGCAGATCCGTTCCTACGCTGCTGAGGCCAAGGCCTCTCCCACTGAGGTCTCTTCCATCCTTGAGCAGAGAATTCGTGGTGTTCAGGAGGAGGCTGGTCTTGCCGAGACTGGACGTGTCCTTTCCGTCGGGTACGTGACGAATTCTCCCTCGGTTGAAAATTTTGGCCGCCGCTTCAATTCCATCGATATCATCGAAATATTCGAAAATCCGGCCATTATTTGACGCTCTCCATCGAAATCAATTGAAACTAATATCAAAAATAGTGACGGTATCGCTCGTGTCCATGGCATGACCAACGTCCAGGCTGAGGAGCTGGTCGAGTAGGTGCCCCCGTTTTTTATATATATGCCTTGTTTATGTTCCAATCAATTGACAAATCATTAGGTTCGCCTCTGGCGTCAAGGGTATGTGCATGAACCTCGAAGCCGGCCAGGTCGGTGTCGTGCTTTTCGGTTCCGACCGTCTCGTCAAGGAGGGTGAGACTGTCAAGCGTACCGGAGAGATTGTATGTATCTCTTTTTTTTCACGCCCAGATATCAGCAATTTTACTTACAAAATCATCTAGGTCGATGTCCCCGTTGGTCCTGAGATGCTCGGCCGTGTCGTCGACGCTCTCGGTAACCCCATCGATGGCAAGGGCCCCATCCCCACCAAGGTCAAGAGCCGTGCTCAGCTCAAGGCCCCTGGTATTCTGCCCCGTCGCTCCGTCAACCAGCCCGTGCAGACTGGTCTGAAGTGTGTCGACTCCATGGTCCCCATCGGCCGTGGTCAGCGTGAGTTGATCATTGGTGACCGTCAGACCGGTAAGACCGCTGTCGCCCTTGATGCCATGCTGAACCAGAAGCGCTGGAACAACACCTCCGACGAGAGCAAGAAGCTTTACTGCATCTACGTTGCCGTCGGTCAGAAGCGTTCCACCGTCGCTCAGCTCGTCAAGACCCTCGAGGAGAACGACGCCATGAAGTACTCCATTGTCGTTGCTGCTACTGCTTCCGAGGCTGCTCCTCTGCAGTACCTTGCTCCCTTCACTGGTTGTGCCATGGGTGAGTGGTTCCGTGACAACGGCCGCCACGCCGTCATCATCTACGATGACCTTTCCAAGCAGGCCGTCGCCTACCGTCAGATGTCCCTGCTGCTCCGTCGTCCCCCTGGTCGTGAGGCCTACCCCGGTGACGTTTTCTACCTCCACTCTCGTCTCCTTGAGCGTGCCGCCAAGATGAACGAGAAGCACGGTGGTGGTTCCCTCACTGCCCTCCCCGTCATTGAGACCCAGGGTGGTGATGTCTCCGCTTACATTCCCACCAACGTCATCTCCATCACTGACGGTCAGATCTTCTTGGAGTCTGAGCTGTTCTACAAGGGTATCCGTCCCGCCATTAACGTCGGTCTGTCCGTCTCCCGTGTCGGTTCCGCTGCCCAGGTCAAGGCCATGAAGCAGGTCGCCGGTTCCCTGAAGCTGTTCTTGGCTCAGTACCGTGAGGTTGCTGCCTTCGCCCAGTTCGGTTCCGATCTCGATGCCTCCACCAAGCAGACCCTCAACCGTGGTGAGCGTCTTACCGAGCTCCTCAAGCAGAAGCAGTACTCCCCCATGGCCGTCTCCGACATGGTTCCCCTGATCTTCGCTGGTGTCAACGGTTTCCTCGACTCCATCCCCGTCGCCAAGATCCTCCAGTGGGAGTCTGACTTCCTTGCTCACCTCAAGAGCAACCACCCCGAGATCCAGGAGACCATCGAGAAGGAGGGCCAGGTCAGCAAGGAGCTCGAGGCTCAGCTCAAGGAGATCATCCCCACCTTCAACAAGTCCTTCAACGCATAGGTGAGCAACACAATGCTCTTGGGCGAATAGCCCGCCATGTACCGAATCAATCCTGACTCTATGTGTATAGACAAGATAGCTTGTACAATTTGAACCCACTGTTTTATTTTTTTTCTGTTAAACCAGAGCTTCGGGTCGGTCGAGATATTGGATGAGGTGTAGTTTGCAACTATGCGATGATATTTTACTGCCAGATCTATGTAGCTTATGGGACGACGGAGAGCAGGGTAAAGCGGTGGTGCGGAGAAAGGCAAAAAAGATACGATTAATATCCTGTACGTTTAGATCATTTCGCGCGACAAAGGGAACGGAATTGGACGGATTAACTGGTTTGGCGTGTAATACCTTCCAGCTGGTCTCGGCTTATGAAACCTTTGTCTACATATATGCAGCCTGAATATGATTTCCTTTGTTCGATTAAACTTGGTACTCTGACGGGTGCGTATGATGTAGTCTCTATAGTTGCTCTGATAGTAGTTGAACTAAATTCAACGCTCCAGCTTGCATCTCTGGCGGTCATAGCGGTCAGTCTGGGGTAACTCGACCCAGCACGAGCCCATGGCATTACTAGTTGAGGGTCAAGTAGTAGGATATATATAGAAGCCATTGGGGGTCTCATTGCCGGGTGGCGCCTTCTTCCCCGGTCGAAGTGGTGGACGTAAAACTAGTATGATCTGGGGTTAGGAACTGCAAGCACTACGGGAGTCCATCCGTGTAAATTTCATATAGCCACCAATCTGATGTCAGAACCATAACATCTGGGGAACCAAGGGACAGTCGTCCCAGCAAATTTGCGGGGAATGGACAGGATGAAGCTGTGCTGCTCGCCGTCTGGAGCCGATGGGATGGGCCGAATGCGGACATTGCGTTTATCGATAAGCGAGCAGCCTTTTCCGTCCCAAAATTTCTTTTAATGCCCCTCCGCCATAGCCCACCTTGAAGTAGAGAGTGTATTCCCTCCCATCCCAATTGCTTCGATCATTCTTCCCTCCCATTCGCAAAGATGGCTACCACTTCTGACTCGGTCCCGGCCTCTTGCAAGGTCATGCTCTCCAAGCATGTTGCCAATCGCCTGCTTGCGGAGGTCCAGGAGGGCGTCCAAACCCTGGAGAAGCCGCCTCACTTGGTGGGATTCCTTGCCAACAACGACCCCGCGGCGTTGATGTATGCCCAGATGACGGAGAAGACGTGTCAGGAAAAGTGAGCATTCTCCCAAATTTTCACTCCCAGTTGCGTCCGTCGTGCCCCTGTGGTTACTGCGTCTGGTGGCCCCTCGGCGCGCATATGACTCAACCCTGCGATGTCGGAGCTCTCCTGGCACGCAGGCAGTATTGTGGGATGTCACTTCGTAGCTAACGTAGTCTTTTTATCCATTGCACAGTGGCTTCCGCTACTCCCTCCGTGAAGTTGCCCGCGATGACCTTGAGCAAGCTATCCTCGCTGCCAACGCCGACTCCGATGTCAACGGCATCATCGTATACTACCCCATCTTCAACAACCGCCAGGACCAGTACCTGCAGCAGATTGTCGACATAAATAAGGATGTAGAGGGTCTGAGCCACCGTTACATTTTCAACATGTACCAGAACATTCGTTTCCTTGACCCCGAGA